ATATATATATATATATATATATATATATATATATATATATATATATATATATATATATATATGGTTATTTTCTGACCTTAAAAAGTAGCGGACATAACGGTAATCAGTTCGAATACACTAACTTGCTAGTCTCAACTAATGACAATGTTTGGTATGTATTACACGTGAGAGTTGCGTGTTGTTTTGAACTTTAACTTCACTTAATAGTTTGTTATTTTCAAAACTGTAATTAACAAGTGTCTGATGTGCTTAATAACCGTCGTAGTTCGATTCTTTAATTGACAAAATATTACTCAAAAGATCTTCCGAACATTGACAATATTGCCAGGGCGGTGAACGATGCTCATAAGTACCTCGTAAAAATTTTTTTGCATCATATTCGACGCATATTTGTTGACGAAAAGTTCACTTGAAATTCACTGCTTTCTTAACGTTCATTTTTAATTTTCCTGAGTCTGAGTGCCACTGGTATAATTAGACACCCGAATTAACTGCTTTGTCTAAAATTTAGAAACATGTTTTCCAGTTCGTCTTTCAGAGGGGTTTCATCCTTGAATGATTACATCGTAGACATTTTCATTAACGAGCAATTAAAAATCTATCCTGAGGAATTAGGGGAGGAGATTAAAATTAGTTCATTTACTGCCACGTTCGATTCACCGCTCTAAAAGCTAACGGGTCGAACATTTACCAAAGCGGGAACGTCTTTAACCCCCTAAGACTGGGTTGAAAGTTTGCCAAGCCCAGCCATCTCAATATCGCAGTTGTGAAATTACAGTATCATAAACTTGTGGTCTACTTAACTCGTAAAGCTCTACCGCACTAATTATTGTTTTTGTTTTGATTTTGGCATGGCACCGTATGTTTATAATTAGACCACGTTAAGTGCACGGAAAACTGTTTGCGTTATTTGACAATTGCTCAAATTTACCTGCTTTTAACTGTAGTTTCGTGCCGTTAAGTGAAGTTAAGACCCCCCGGGCCGAAAGCGTATAAAAATATCTGTAGACTGTATTACGGAGTTGATTAATGGCCGCTTTTCTTGCATTAATAAGGTCGGCTGGATCGTGCGTGATCACTTAGAACCCGTAACACTGCTAACACTGCTTGTTTACATCGTTTACGCAAGTCGGCCACAATAAATCATTGCGATCTGTCAGTTATTTTACAATAGAACCTAAATGGGCGCCATTGAAGTCCTTGATGAAGCTATTTTAAAACAACCAAACATTTGGGCGATGTTTGGTATGTATTACACTCGAGAGTTGCGTGTTGTTTTAAACTTTAACTTCAGTTAATAGGTTGTTATTTTGAAAACTATAATTAACAAGTGTCTGATGTGCTTTAACTGTCGTAGTTCGATTTCTTTCAATACTCTGGGTGTCGTATTAAAATTTCAACCTTTAACTCCAAGAGTAATCATAACAACATCTTTTATATATATAATTTCGATAAATCATCAAATAAACTGCGGATGAGAATAAAGAACTCATTAAAGCGGGAAAAGTTGTCGCAGCTTTACTATAGTGTCGTGTTTTACGACTGTGTCCAACCAAACCTGTTTATAGTTTGCGCATTCAGGAATCCCATGACAACGTTTTTCTTTCCCCAGACCAATGTCCGAGCTCAGTTCATACAGTGGAAGGAAGATGTAAAATCGACTGTTTGATAAATTCACATTGCCAAAAATGGCAATATTGCTGCAAAGCAGGGTGCTGGCAAACATGCGGTAAGAGCTAGTTATTGTACGAATGTAGATTTGTATAGCACCGATCATGATTCTGTAGGACGACCACGTCGATATCTACATTGACGACGTCGCGAACGCTCACAACGTCAGCTAGAACCAAGAGTGGATGAATGGTAAGATAGATAATCCCCAAGGTAATTCCTCTCAATGTATTTTTAGATCATCCCGTGTTTTGAATATCCCAGGGAGTCTAGAAGTAGTCAATCTTGTGACGTAGATTTGCCAACGTGAACAGCCCAAGAGGCCCTACACGCTTTTTCAACCTCCGCGAAAAAATCCACTCAACACGCGTGGTAAAATCATCCACGGAAGAACTGGGTACCATGTCTAATAATACGTACCTTGAGAGCAAGAGACTATGGTCATAGTCTCTTACTTTAGAGGGAATACCGTAATATTAAGGGCTATATGGAAATTAACTCCTTCACCCTTTATCTTGACTTATCTTTCTCAACATGTAACCATTTGAATTGCTTAAAGCTTCCACAGCAGAGAAGAATACCCACATATTGTCAAATAATACTGATGTTTCTCCCTCTTTCTATAGTGAATTACACGACGTGTCAGCTACAGCAAATCGAGGCAGCCCTAAAGAGAAGCTCATTTACGCCAGTCTGCAAACCAGACGGAAGCTTCAAAGAAATCCAGTGCGTTACGACACCCACGTTGAAATGCTGGGAAGTGAACACGGAAGGAAAAAAGATTCGGGATATCGACGTCACGATTCATTTGACAGCTCATCGTCGTCAGCCACAAGAATCAAAAGAAAAGAGAATTGGAGTGTATCCTGCACTGGAAGAGGACGAAATAGGTAATATACGCCCATTAACTAAGATAATCTATTATTAATTTTCGGGTTCCTGGTTGAGGTTTTTCTCTTGGGTCTAAGTATGAATAGAGTCGTAATTAATTATAAATAAGACAGACTAATGTAATAACCAGTGGATTGTTGGCTAACCCAAAGAAGATCGAAGGTAAAGATATGACGCTGGAAAAACATCAGGACGCTATATAACATTGGAAAGACGGCGCAAGTTGTTAGAGAAATGACAAGATACAAAAACTGGGATGCTTGGTATTAGTGAGTGCCGTTGGTCAGGATTTGGAAGAGTAAAGCCCCAGACAGGGGAAACAATCCTATAGTCTGGACGCGACGACAAACTACATCAAAATGGAGTAGCTATTGCTCTTGATAAGGCGGTCAGCTGTGTCTCTGGAGAGCTGGGCACCAATTAGTGACCGCATCATCAAAGCTTGTTTTTACTCTCGATATATCAAGACAACAATCCAGTACAGGTATCAGTATGCTCCAACCAAAGATGCACAGGAGGAAGCCAAAGACGATTTCTACGACCAACTACAGAAAGTCACAGACAGTGTACCAAAGCATGACATCTTGATAATAATGGGTGACTGGAATGCTAAAGTAGGAGAGAGGCGAGAGGGTGAGGAGAGAGTAATGGGAAAAGAAGGCCTGAAATGTGTCAGGAATGACAATGAAGAAAGATTTGTTGCATTCTGTCCAACATATAACTTTGCTATCACATCAACTACATTCTCTTCAACAAGGATATCAATAAGTACACTTGGACATCACCTGATGATCATACCCGTAATCAGATTAATCATGTAGCAGTGAATTCAAGGTTCAAACCATCAGTCTCTGACACCATGCCAGGTCGTACAGAGAAGCTGACATCTCCAGTGACTACAATTTAGTGGTCTGTGTTGTGTAACTTAAGCTTTGTAAAGTCTCTAGGACTACCAGTAGGTATGAATGTAGCAAGTTAACAATACCTGCCGTTTGACAAAAATTCGAACTTGAACTGAGAAATAGGTTCAGTTGCCTGATGGATGATAGCGATGAGCAAGCTATAGTTGACTGAAATGAAGACGACGAAAACACGCAGTCGAACAAAGAGCAAAAATGGGAGGGTTTTAAAACGGTTTTAAACGAGACGGCGAAGACAGCCTTAGGTCACAAAGAAAGGAAAGAGCTGAATTAGTGTGGACAGCTGAAAGAAAGTTGAGAATAGAAGAGCAATGAAGAGAAAGGTCAATGATGCAAAATCAAGCAGGCAAAAGGCATAGCAGAAAGCGGAGTACCAAAGGTTAGTCAAGAAGTAAAATCCAGTTTGAGGAATGATAAGTGAGAATGGGCAAATAATATTGTTCAAAAAGCAAAAGATGCAGTAAGGCATGGACAAATGAGGGGTGTCTACAAGGCTACAAAGATATTGTGCAATGTCAGGCCGAAACGAATTGACATGGTAAAGAGTAAGGGAGGTAGATTACTACCCAAAGAAGATGAAGTACGCTAAAGATGACAAGAAAACTTCACGGAGGTGTTAAATAGGCTTGACCCTGTAATGACAGTCGAGATCAATGATGATGATGATGATGATGATGATGATAATGAAGAGATTGAAGAAGGACCAGTCACGAAGCTAGAAATCAAGAACGCGATCAAGGACATGAATTATCAAGCAGCTGGTATCGACATTATTACAGTAGAAGCCAGTAGACAGGATGAAAGCTGATATTTAGACGACAGTTGATGCCTTGCATGATGGGAAGAAGAGAGAATACCAGAAGTTTAGAGTAAAGGTCTTATTGTTAAACTGCCCAAAAAGGGAGATCTGACCAACTGTGGCAACTAGAGAGGAATTACGTTGATGCCTGCTGCTGCTAAGGTGATAGGAAAAGTAATTATCAAGAGAATATCCAAAGGAGTTGATAAAAAAAAACTAGGGAAAGACCAGGCAGGTTTCAGAAGTGGTAAAAGAACAATGGAGCAGATATTTGTTTTAAGAAACATTATTGAGCAGTCATTTGAATAGAATGCAAGCATGTATAATCATTTGCTTCATTGACCATGAAAAAGCTTTCGACAGTGTCCAGGAGAGAGACCCTTTGGAGAATCAGGAGGTTTTGTGCTACTCCTTAAAATTATTGGGATGGTACAGGCAATGTGCAGAGGAAGTAAGTGTGCAGTAGTCGATGGGGGAGGAAAGGCTGACTGGTTTGACATTAAGTCAGGTGTCCGGCAAGGGTGCGTGATGTCAGGGTATTTTTTTGCTTGTCATTGATTGGGAGATGAGGAAGGCGCTTGAGGAAGGAAATACTGAGATTAGGTGGAGGTTTACTGACAAGTTAGAAGATCTCAATTTCGCTGATGACCTTGCATTCTTATCAAGTAAAAGAAGGCAGCTCCATTTGAAGAACGATCGATTATTTAGTGCCAGCCAAGGAACGGGTCTAAAGATTAACATTACCAAAACGAAAGTAATGAGGTTCAACGCTGCAAATGACGAGAACGTTATGGAAAATGGAGAAGAACTTGAAGACGTAGACAGTTTTGTCTTTTTTTGGGAGCCAAAGTTACTACCTGGTGAAGCAGATGATGAAATCATATGCAGACTGGGTAAAGCAAAGGCAGCATTTGGTAAACTGATGAATATCTGGAAAAGCAGCCAACTGAGTATCTGTTCTAAGATAGGGATGTTCAAGTCTAATGTAATAGCTGTGTTGCTGTACGGTTGTGAATCGGTTGAGGATGACAAAGGGGGATGAGGTCAAACTAGATACTTTGCATTGGAAATGCCTGCGTAGGCTTTTAAAAATCTATTGGCCTATGCGAGTGTGAAATGAAGAGGTGTTCATGCAAGAGAGCTAACATAGAATATATCAGCGAACAAGTAAGGAAAAGGGGCTGGACATGGATTGGACACATGCTACGAATGGATAACAGTGCCATCCTACGAGCTGCACTGACGTGGGCACCGGAAGGAAAACGCAAGAGAGGAAGAGCTAGGGAAACATGGCGTAGGACAGTGGAGAAAAAGCGAATGGCGATGGGTTACTGTTCTTGGGTAGAGGCAGGGCTGGCGGCGGCTGACAGAGTGTCTTGGAGAAGTAAAATTTATTGCCCCACTCTCCATACGGAGAAGCGGAACTGATGATGATGACGCTAATATCCATAGATGAATTCCTTGCTAATATAAAGCTCTGACTTGTAAAGATTTTAAGGAAAATGACCAATTTTTTAAGTTTAAAAGACATGTTTCGACAGAACGTCTGTCATCTTCAGTTGAATGAATGATTACAAAGCAAGTTGAATAATAAGTAGGCAAAAATGCTAATTAAGACAAATAGTAACAACAGAACGTGAAA